GAGTTTGTGGGATTTTATGTAAAACATTTTGCAACAGTAAATCAAAACTTAATACATCTATAACATTGACTACACTGTATGTTTATTTTTTTCTCATTTTAAATGTAATCTTGCAAAATTTTGACAGGATTATTTCTCTTTACTCTTTAAATTAACTTGAATAAAATGCAATCCTAAATGTCATGCTCTTACCAGAGTTTGTGGGATTTTATGTAAAACATTTTGCAAAATAAAATAAATGATTCATACTCTTTTTTTTATGAAGACCATTTAACACAAATTTAGAGGAACACTAATAAAAACTACAAGTTGTTTAAAAGGTTTTTGCATAATGATAGGAACAGTATCATTTTGWTTAGGCTTTGCTTCATTAGAAAGGAAATGATCCTTGTCACATTTTTCACGGTCTAACTTAGTCCCTATCTGAAGGGCCAGAAAATGAAATGCTTCACATTTATTTATTTAATTATTTATTTTTATCCATTAAAATGGCCCAAGGTRATACTTAGAAATGTTTAGATTATGGTTTAAATCTGGGAAAGTTCTGGAAAGTTGTAGTTTACATATGCAACATTTTCCTTTTTAATGTCATTCAGAATCTCAAGTATTTTTTAATTTCTTTTAGAATCMTGTTGCTTTGAAATATGAACTGTCCAAAGTGTTGGAAAACAAGTGTATACAAGAGACTATTAAGACTTTATTACGTATTGTTAAAAGTTTCTACATAATCTTACGATGAACAGAAAGTACAATCAGCTCCAGCATGAGCCGGCAGTTTTAGGAGGCAGAATTCAGTCTGCACTTCCAGTCACCTATTTTTCAGTTTGTGTCTCATTACTTACAAGTACGATGCTTCTTTGCTACACTTCATATTTACATAACAGAAAACCACCCATAAAGCTCTGTCATGCATTCATAATGTTTTCCATTTCTGCACTCGGTGTGTGTTTTGGCGTTCATCACTAATATAACAAACCAGAGGTGGGATGTATTGTCTGGGGAATTGAGGTATGACACGAAGCACAATGTTTCTCATGCTCCGCCGCTTCCATGAAATCACTGTTTACTCATTTTTATCTCTCTGGTTTAAACATTTTGTTGCATTTTTTTTCTTCTGTTTGCTCCTTTCAAGGTGGATGTAAAAGCTGGGAACTCAGAGAAGTGGATCACGCAAAAGTTTAAACAACCTAAATATTAAAACTGAACAGACATTTCTATGCATTAATGATTATAATAGATAACAAAGAAATTGTTACAACTGTTACATTTTGGAATCCATAAAATGCCCAGTATATTTTTCTTGTCAGCCAACTCTAAGTTTTAATCTTGTTTTTAATAAATTATAAATTATTATGTATTTATTTATTTTTTTGATTTTTTGTTTCTATGATTTTTTTCTTCCCTAAGCTTCATTTAGTAGTTAAATACTTATTTCCATTTTCTGCACATTTGGGTGTAACAAACATTTTTGACAGAAAAGCCCCAAACACGGTTCTGCATTACAAGGAGTCTAAATATTAAGCTTTCTCCACATACTTGCTAAATGCTAGCATTTTTGTGGATTGCCATCCTTTTATTGCCAGTATTTTTTCTGATAACCCCCCTCTGATTTAAACAGCACCAAGTTTTTCATCTGATGCCATTTGTCTTTTGTATTTGCCAGAGATCTCTGGGAACTCAGAGGACATCCCTCTGGTACGCTGGCGGCAGCAGTGGCTGGAGAATGGCACGCTGCTCTTTCATATCCACCACCAGGATGGCAGCATGAACCTCCCAGAACCGACCGAAKACCCGGCCAACGACTCCACGAAAGAAGAGCTTCGCATTTTGCACATCTCAGTGATGGTAAATCCTATTATTCAGGGTTAGGTGTTCAAACTGAGGCAAATGTGTCTGAAACCAATAGACACTATAACATTTAAACACACTTTATTTGCCAAAATTAGTACAATGTTTAAAAAGCATAGGGATTTAATTTTTTTTAAGTTTAGGGTATATACTGTAGTTTATTTCCCCTGATCTGATGCATTTTCCAGTGAAATCCTTATATAGATCTTTTTTTATTCTCCTTTTTTGTTTTCCATTCACCCAGTGTTGCTACTTTTCTATATTTAGCACAAAAATAGAAAATATTTTGTTTAGTAGATTGTCTCTTTGGTGATATCTCATAACAATGTTTTGATAATACTGTATTTCACTGTTCAGTCTTAAGACTTATGTGTTTTTTAGTGTTAGAGGTCAAAAATATTGCCCCGTGAAATTTTAATTTAACCACTATTTTATTAAATAACACTGAAAGATAATTTTATTACCATATTTTTATGAAGTGCACAGATTTAGAACTTCTGTTTGTTTTGTATGACCCATCAGAATCGGTGATCCCAGCTTAAACTGTTTTGAGTAAATAAAACATCACAGTGCATGTTTTATTACTTTAACAGGTTTGCAAATTAAATATATTTATTTCAAATTACATGCTAAAGTTATTTTTTTTGTTTGGTTTGTTTTTTTATGCAAGTTATTATTTGCAGCACAGAGGAACATTTTTTGTGTTCTCCATCTGTAAACTTACCTGTCTAATTTTATTAGTGAAAAGAGGACATTGTGGTTGTAGGAGGGTGATAAAACCCAAAGTGCAGACTGACACAAAGTATTTCAAAGGTAAACTAAAATACTTTATTCAACAAAAACAAAGAGCTGACGTCGCAGCAAAAACTTACACAACTTAACAACGGGATCACAAGGGCACGGGGAACACAAACCAGACCGTAGCATATAGCCAACAATGCAAAACTGATGTGAAGGTGGAAATAAATGGAATACATAGAGCTAAGGACGAGTGACTGCAGCTCAGATTAATGAGGAAAGAGGGACAGGTGAAGTGGGTGTGGCAAGCTGACAGAGGTTGAACAAGAGATGGCACAAGGAAAAAGTGGAATCTAACACAAGTAAGAAAAACAAAACACAAGAGTCACAAGGAACAAATAACCTGAATAAACCCAAAAGACTGTAGTCAGAAACAAAGCTAATCAAAACACAGGCAATGACAGATATATGCCCAGAATGTTGAGTAAGGTCTTAAATAAAATAACAAAATTGAAACTTTAAAAAAGCAAGAATTATTTTTTTCAGAGTTAAAACTTCTGAAAATGTAAAATTTGACACTGACAGCAGTGTGTGAACAGTGCTGTTTTGTTTTTTTGTCATACAGCAATAATTTAGCACAGAATAAAATGTGCTGTAACCAAATACACACAATGATAGTGGGACAGTGAGTTTTCTGCTCATTAAAATTAACAAATACTATTCTCCATTTTATGCCAAAGAAGGGTTAGCTTATGGCAGAACAACATACGTTTATGAAGTTTAAAGTACCAGTTAAAGAATGTAGATTTTTGTGTGCRTGCACTGTATCAAACCTTATCTGCAATGTTGGCAGAGTAGGAAATGAATCCTTAGAACTTTCTGCTTCCCTCCTCTTGCCCGAAGAAGTGTATATTTATTAGATCTAAGATATGCCACACCTACTCCCAGTGCCCTTTCCTAGCCCAAAGACATTACAATCACGCTTTGATGGATGATATGTATTTTCAGGCATTGAAAGCTTATTATATCTGCATACACAAATGATTAGTCAGCTTGAGAAGATGTGTGCCACCAGCTACTTCTGCTAAATGAAAGCATAGAGGCGCAACACCTTCAGACCACGATTTAATGATAAAGAACCAGCCTTGTCCTGTCCTCTGCATGTTTTGCATGAATTAGCAAACATCAAGTCAATCCTCTGGATGCAGAAGCTCAGGTGTTGATGGTATTTTTGAGTGAGATTAAAAGGCCAGTGCTCTGGCTCTGCTTCTTACCTCTTTTACTTTGCACTCGTCTCACTTTTCTACTCCCAGCTCTATCTGCATTTCACATCCCATCACCCTCAGGTCGGCAGCTTTCTGCTTTCTCATCTGCTAATTCGTCATCCTTGAAGGGCTGGGGTGGGTGGGGGGCAGCGCCTCCTTAAAAGTGCTTTCATGAAGGTATGAGCAGAGAAGGATTAACATGCAAATATGAGCAGACCATAACAACAGATGGAGACAGTGTTGCTACTGGGCTTCCCGGGCTCCACTGCAGCTTGCCGCCCGGCTAGAAGCCTTGACCTATAAATCGAAAGCCATGTCACTCGCTCCTTGTAGAAACAGAAAAGGTCCCATGAAGTCTGCTGTATGGACTTTTCAGCCTCACCTCATGTATGTCAAGAGATTGTTTTCCATTGAGTTTAACAGTTAAGTTTAACATCATGAGGCAAGACAGCAGCAGATCATGTGAAAGTTCAGTGATTTATTTTGATTCAGTTCTATTCAATTCGTTTATATAGTGCCAATTCACAACACAAGTCCTCTCAGGACTATTTTCATTGAAAAAGAAAAATCTCTATTTACAAATTTCATTTAAAACATATCCAAGTACTTTTCCGTTTTTTCTCATAAAACATTAGTGAGATCCGTTGAATAGTATTAAAAATGGTGATAAAATAATTGTGTAACTTTTTGGTTTTCTTGTGACTTGGTAGCAGTTAATCCAGTGTCACAAATGTGTGGCACTTTGTGTAAAACCTGGCATCAGTCTCAGAAATGAAGTATTGAATTTACTTAACCAAGTTGAGTAAATGTACAGTGACTTGCTCAATGTCTTTAAAAGAAAAATTAGTGATTCTCTTTAATGAACTTACACAACAGAACTTGGTTAAGTAAGTTCAACACTTCATTTTTTAGAGTGAATGATGCAAAACCTATGTAAACCATGAGATATTCATACAGATTAATACATACATGAATTTGTTTGGCATACAGCATATGTTTTTTTATTTACCATTGTAATATGAATTGTTCATATTTGCAGCTATTTGAACATACAGTAAGTTGCTGTGTCTACTAAAACTAGTGCTTTGGATTCAGAATAATTTAGTGACAGCTTTTTGTTTCAGGCAGCCTAAATCTGGGCCTCCATCCGGAAGAAAAAAGAGCCAGTCAAACAAAAATAACTCATCAATATGCCAGCGGTAATTTATTACAACACAGAAACAGTGTGTCAGTGCTCCCCTATAGTTTAAATTTGCAGGTTCAAGTAAAGCAAAGAGCTTTGTTTTGTTGATGAATTTAGTTTCATGATAAAGAATTATTTGCAAGATCCCAAGAGTTAAATGTTACCCCTTTTGGCTCATTAAGGTATCGCTAAACCCAGATGATACTAATAAAACTATTTAGCATTCATTTTTTACCTAAATTACTAATTTTTAGCTATTCAGTAGTTTCCCCATGTTTCCCCATGTGCTTGAAAATTAACACAGAGCAGAAAATGAAGAAACTGCTAAACTCTATTTTATAAATAACAGAACCCAAGGTGATTCACTCTGAATGAGTCACATCTGCAGCTTTTAAGGACTCCTTACCACTGGCCCTGTTAGAAAGAGGACTCAACCTTACTGAGCCTGACTGCCGTTTTTGTGTTTATAGGTTTGTCAAACCAGGCTGTATTATTACTCAGTAATTTTCATTTTAATGATTTGATCACCTGAAGAAGTCTAATTTATAAAGGCTGAGTCAGTGTGTTTTGGAAACCTGGTGTTATGAAGCTTGAAGCCTCCTCTCACTGAGTGGTTCAAAGTATGTCCCCATGCAGTTACATCAACAAGGTGACCACCATGTCCTGGCTGCAGCTAGTCATCAATAATAGATGACTAACCTTGTGTATGTCTGTACCAACACCAGGTGAGACACTGGCAGTTCAAACACAAATTTGACTTTAGCTCAAACCCCACGGGCACACACAGTTACAAAGTAAATCCCCAAACTTTGGTGCTAAAGACAAATAAAAACACTTTATATTTGAAATGGCATCATGTATTCAGTGAGCCATTATTGGTTCATCTATTGAGACTCTTAAGCTCCAGTGTATCTCTGCTATGCACATTTCTCCCCTTTTAATTTACAAATTTTAATCAGCTGCTGTTTTGCTACAGGGCCTCAATGGATCAATCCAATCAGCACATGCAGTATGGAGGCATCCAAACCAAACCAAGCCAATTACATTATATGATTGTCTAATATTTTCAAGCTCAGGGGTTAGATTTGATGTTTTTTATGATTGTTTTTTTCCTGTTGTGACTGTTTTAGCTTTKTTKTTTTTTTTTTTTTTTTTTTTCTCTGAAGTAAAATAACAAACAACTTCTTAACTGGCGCTGACAGTTTTATGAAAGACAAACATAAACTTGGATATTCAGTTCTAAAATGTTTGGAAATGAAGAATAGTGGATGAATTGGTACTTTCTAAAAGGGACATTCAGGTTGTGTATCTTGCGATAGTGTTCATTTGGCTGTGTAGGGTTATTCCAGAAATTGGGTTTAATGAAAACTCAGTAAGTTAACCCTGAGTTTAGGAAAACTACTTTTTTTCCCTGAAAGTAATACAAAATTATACTCAGATTCTGTAGTCATGGTAAATGACTTTGTGACATGAACCTACCCTTTTTTGTCCTCTATTGCTGTTCATAGAGGGACTTGGGAATACTCTTTGTCCAGCCGTCCATATTGTGAGCTGGATACTGATTTAGATGTTGATGTGTGGCTGGTCCTTATCAAAAATAGGGCCGCCACGTCATAATCCAAGATATTCACCACTACACATTTATGTAAAACCATCACCTCAATATTTTGAGAAAACTGTTTTCTAGTTTTTTTATTGCCCAAAAGCAATTTCCTCAAATGACTGTCAAATGATTGGGTCAAAAATAAGCAATGTGCTGTGTTACTATCTGGTGTTTCTTCAAGACAGGTGTGGCCAGTAGAGCTGCCAAA